ACAGTGTTGTGTACTACCAAAAAGAACTAACCTGCACTGCGAAAGTTATTGACTCATTTTTCGGCTACTTACCCACTCTTGATTAGAAATCAAACTTTTTCGCTTTTTCCGAATATATATTCAGAATTTTTTTTTTCTGAGGAAAGATTGAACAGTTATCAGTTAAATTTTGTGAAGAAGTCGAAAACTGTATCTGTAGAAAGCAAAATATGAATTTTGGTAAACTATCTAACAGTTTCCACAAATCGAAAGAAGAGATTTTCGAACGTCTTTTTGTCTTAGACTATATATATAAGACAGAATTATTTTAAAATCCATCATCTTCGAGATATATTTTTAAATAATGCACGGAAATGGTATTGGGTATCATAGAAATTTTGATGAAAAATCAGAATATTTACCTAAAATCGACAAAATCCTATTTTATTTGACTCAATAGATCCGGGATTTAGTTTGTTTCGTTTTGAGAGATGAGAAGATAATTATCCGAATCGTTCGTTGAACTATATTTTCATGGATGTTTTGTGAAGATGATGAATTTAAAAATAATTTTGCTTTATATTGTATAAAATGAAGAGACATCTGACGCAAGTCGATAGTTGTTGCCCTTATCGAGTTATTCGAATTGCAGTCACTCTTTAAATTCTCGTGTGAACATCTCTAGTGGGAATGCAGAATTGACGGAAAATATCGAAAGAATAAATATATGTCAACAGTATAAATTTCGTATGACTATTGCTTTCGATCGTTTCCTAGCTACACTTCTCAATTATCGAATTGGTATCACTCACCAAACAAAACAAATTTTCAAGGACAATTTGAAATATTGAATATTAGATTTTTAAAATTATGAAATAAATCGAAAATGATCACTGCTCGGACTTAGTCTTTTGAAAGAAGGATAAAAAATAAGATAAATATTTGTTTAGAATTAAAATAATACTCGTTTTTCTTTCTATATTTATGACAAGTTATTTATATAATCAGAATTAAAGATAAACGAAAGAATAGTCTGAATTTCGAGTATAGAAATTCTTTCACAATTGTAAATTTCGTTTTTCTTTTTTTTTTCTTATTATGTGATATTGAACAATTACATTGATTAGTTAATTATATAAAATAACCATTTGTTAAAACTGATCCAAGTGTTAATGGAAACTCTTATTCATCTATTAACATATTTATCATTTGGAAATAAAGAACAAAATGCGAAGATTACTTCATTATTTTAAATCATATTTTGAATTTTATCGATTTGATCTTGAACAAACATCATCATCAACAACAACATCAAAATCAAATGATAATCATAGTCAATTAGATTTAGATTGTTTTTGTGAAATATGTTAACATTTAGATAAAAAAATCTCTTTATGGGAAAGAATTTCGTCATCATATTAATCAACCTGATGGTATTATTGATCAATCTATAAATAATATTGAATAAAATTGAGCACAAGTTAAAACATATTTAGTTACGTTTATTAACTGACTTATCATATGGACATGAACAAATTCAAATAAAAAGTGGACAAAGTTAATTCCAATTTTACATTAAATTCAACAATTAATAACAACTGGTAAACGTTGCTGTGTTTAGCTGAAGATCTTTTACATTGATTAACTGAAAATGAACAAGTTCCAAAAAAAATTTATGATCTTAGAAATGAAACATGTGCAGAAAAAAAAACGTTTAGCACAAGAAGCACCTGATAGAAAAATGCCTGAATTAAATTTAACAAAAATAATACAAAATAAAAGTCTATCAGAATCATCATCAACAGCATCAAAAACACCTATATCACATAGTGATTTAACTGATGAAACTGGTTATCTTTGTTGGATTTGTCGTGAAGGTTAGAAACATTGTCCAAATAAAGTTTTACCTATTTATAGATTTAGAAAAAAACGTTCATATTCAACTATATGAAGGTAAAAGACGAAAAACATCTGGTTATGCCAGTGTAACACATTTTAATATAATAGATATTCAATGTCATAGATCAGCTATTAAACAAGCATGATCAAGAGATAAATAGGAATCAGCTTTATTACAACAATGCAAATACACCTTCTAATGGTTTATTACCATTATGGGGACCTGATGTTGCTCAAGCACAATTTACAACATCACTTTCAAAGTTTGATTTTAAGAATTAATTTTTTTCCTATGTGATTAAAATTATTTCCTAACGAGGCAACATCTCAAACATAAACTAAAACTAAATAGATCTTAATCAGTCTAGAAAAATTCTCAAATGTAGTTTGGGTCTACTAATCTTTCGGTAAAGAAATAGGAGATTTTTACGAGTCTATTCGATTTCTCGTATTGATTGAGAGTATTTAAAAAATGTTCAAAGTCTCCTGATCCGTGTAGATTTATGGGCGAACATAAGAATAAACTTAACTGTGTGCATAGAGATACGTATGGATCGCGGGTAAGGACGCATGGGACCAAAGTTTTTGTGCTCCTGCACATCTCTATATGGGATAGATTGAGACGTAGAATAAAGACATGTTCTAACGATGAAACTCCACCAAGTGATTAAAACCTTTTGAAGTGATATTTTGTCCATAACTAGAAAAAGCCTAAAAGGATAAGTGTCCTATAGGTCTTTCTTGTAGAGTTATGACCGGTTTACTGGCTTTTCGACCCATGGGAAGATATTTAGAAAAAAATCGAATAATGAAATTTTGTTCATATTTCGATCTGATGGTCGTTAGTATGCGGTAAAAGTTTCAATGAGAACGGATCTTTCTTTCTCGAGATAATCAATATATAAAATTGTTTTTTTTCTGTGAAATGTGGATACTTATTTCGAATTGATTTTGTCGATAAAGTAAGATCCATTTTGGTTGAAACTTTTATCGGTTACTAAGGATCATGGGGCCTACCTATAGGCAAAATTTCAGATAAAAACTTCACCATTCGATTTTTGCTAATAGGTCCTTCTATCTAGATGAAAATGAGAAATGCTTGTTTTTACTTGTACTCATAGACTAAAATTCTAAACCTATTTATACTCATAGATTATATGAGGACTTGTCACGAGTTTTATAGAGAAGATTTTTATGATAAAAAAAATTTCTTTATAATTATTCTACTATTTTTTTATTAATTTCGATATGATACGAATATAATTGAAGCAAGAGGTATTCGTCAAACATCAGCAACATTATCAATTGATAATATAAAACTTTTATTAGTTCGTTTTGGTGATGTAGAATAATTTAGTGAAGATAGAGGTGGTGGTGGTGGACGAGAATCAAATATACGTTTGATTCCATATGAAATCCATAGAATTGTTTATGTTCTTAGAAGGTATCAATAAAAACATTCGATTGTTTTCGATTGATTTTTTTTCTTCTCTTATTTTCATTTGTAGAACTCGACAAATTGAACATGAAGAAAAATTATCTGAGTCGTTCTGATTTATTAATAAATGAAGCATTTGAAGTTGATGGTTCTTCCTTTCTAAAAATATTTAAATTAATTATAATCAAACCAAATGATTGGGAAAAAAATCTTCGTATTTTTATTGAAAAACTTCTTCTTCCCACAGATATTCGATCAGTCAATACATAAAATGATCGAACAAAGTAATAAAAAATTAATTTTAGAATGAAAACAAAATGTTAAATCTAATTATTTATCTTTTCTAGAATTGCTTCAAAATCATTAAAATCATTTTCAACTTATAAAACAACTCTTCTCTTTTTTGATCTTGTCAATGCTTTTTTTTTTCATATGTTAAATACTGTAAAATAAAGAATAAATGATAATAAACATTTTTTTTCATTGAAAAATTTGAAGGATTATTTAATGCATTAGATTTAACTCAATTCTAAGAACAATGGATAGAATATCCTATTAATAGATTCCCATAAAAAGAAAGAATAAATAAAACTCGTTACGTCCACTCTTTAGTCATCCTAAAACTTAATCAAATTTACGTTTCTTTCCGTCTTCAATATTTTAAGTTTATTCTTC